CCAGGAGATTGGGATCCACCTGGGAAAAGAGCCCCAGGATCGCCCCCAGGCGGGTCCCATAAAGGCAGGAGGATTCCCAGCAGGAGTGGCACTGCTTTCCTCCAGAGCACCCTCAGCTCTTCCAGCCTCGGGATGAGCTCAGAAGCCAAAGTTTTCCCCAAAACCTCTGAAATTCCTCCCAGAGCCTGTGACAAGCACAGATTTTATCTGGTGCATAATCCGAAGTAATTTAGTGAGGTTTCAGCAGTGCAAATCCCAATAAACTCAATTCCAGCAGTTGGAGACTCCTCTCTCCCAAAGCATCACTGCCTTTTCCTTGGCTCCGAGCAGGACACTTTATTTCCCTACAGGAAACCATTTATTAGTTGTTTATCATTAATGCAAAGCCCTTGAAGTGGATTTTGATTTCACCTGCTCTTCAGGGGAATCAGCAGCTCTTTATAAATCACTTTGCATCCAAATAATTCCATCTTCACATCCATGTACCTCCAGAGACCGGAGCCACCAGGAACAAAATGCAATTTCCAAGGTGAGCTCGGGAAATTCAAGGTTTTGGCACCTCATCTTCGTTGTGTATTGGGCAATAAATACCCGGTTGAGGCAGCAATGAGGTAAAAAGGAATTACAGCTCATCCTACACCACTTTCTCCCCAGGCTTAAAAGATGGGAGCAACAAAACAGGGAAAAGGCAATTTTGTAATTGTACAAAATTAGGTGCCAACAGAGGTATTTGGATGTTCACAAGGTAATTGAAAAACATATTTCAGCTTTGGTTTCAATAGGGATTTGCTTCGCAATTACCATCCCAAACTATTTATTTTTGTTTTCCACAATGAGAAAAAAATAAATGTTCTGGCAGAGATTTGGGGCCCAGATCCTCAGGGCAGCACAGGGAAAATTATCCCAAATTCCTCTGACCATCAGGAAGGAGCTTTGCTCAGAAAAAAAAAGGACAAATATCCACAGTTCCCTGCCTGGCTTGAACAGCTCTTGCAGCTCTGAGAATCCAAAAAAATTCCAATCCTGCTTTCTGTGGTACCCAGCACGGGAGCACCCTCCTGTGTCCAACATGACATCCAACATCTCCATCTGTGGAAAACACAGATTTCCCACTGGGAAGTGCCTCAGGCACCTCTGAGAGGCAGCAGGAGGAAAGCTGGACACAGCAGTGGGAACTGCACAGACCCTCCCATCACATTCTGCATCCCCACTGATCTCGTGTTCCTCTGAAATTTTACACCTCGGTTAAAACCCCCCCCTAGAAATTCAGGATTTTGGTTAAAAAGGCAATGAGGGGTTTGTGTTTTTTTTCAGAACCACACTGAAGCAAAACAAATCCCACAGGATTCCACTCCCTTTGTACATCAACCAAAACTGGGGAGGGGGAAAAGCCCAAAACCACCACCAGAGCAACTGAAATCTTAAATTTTTAGTGTGGAACTTTCACACTGAAGCATTTTCTGGTAAGAACCGGGATTTAACCATTTTTCACTCAAAATGAGAGGCCCAACCACCTCCTGGTGAGGAAAGCCAACCTCTCCCCAAATCCCCATCCCTGTGCCACACATGGAGGGATTTAGGAGGTGGAAGGAGCTGCTTCCTCACACCCAGTGCCCTGTGTCCCTGCCCAGGGCAGGGGACTGGAGTGGGATGGGCTTTCAGGTCCCTTTTAGCCCAAACCATCCCAAATTCTGTGATAACCCCACAGCCCTTCACCTTTTGCTCCCACTGCCTCCTCACCACCTCATCTCACTGATGTCACAGCCAGGGGGACAAGACAAAGGCTCCTGGGCATTCCCAAAGGATCTGCAGAGCACTCAGCTGGGAGGGAGCAGCATTTGGGACCCAGGTGCGAGCAGAGCATTTACCTGCTCAGTCCCCTCACAGCAAGGGCACTGAATAGCAGAAGAGCACCCAGACACCCGAAATTCCAAAGGACTTGGGATTCCAGACCTCTGGCACTTAGTGTGTCTTTACCTCACTCCCTCCAGAGCAGCTGTGGCTGCCCCTGGATCCCGGGCCAGGCTGGCCAGGGCTTGGAGCAGCCCGGGGTACAGGAAGGTTGGGAAGCCGAGCAGAGCAGGGCAGCCCCCACACTCCAAGAACAGCCCTGTACAAAGAACCCCCGAGCCGCCAAAACCTGCCCAGAAGGGAAACACGCAGGGAGCAGCTGGGTTAGGAGACCATTTATTAGGTGAGACTGAGCCGAGACGCTGCAGATGTGTCAGGGAGGCCGTGGGACGCCGCGGGAGCTCCTGGCTGTCGCCTCATCCTCCCGGCGCTCAGTCCAGCTGCAAGAGAGCGAGACACGAGGGGAGTCAGCGGGAACCGGCACCTCCGAGCCCCTTCCCACAGCCCGGGGCTCACCTTGATGAACCCGATGTCCTTGGCGTACTGGCGGAAGCACTGCCGGCACATGTTGAGCCCGTACTTGCGGATGAGGCCGTGGCGGTTGGAGCACACGCGGCTGTGAGGGGAACAGAGAGAGGCGCGTGAGGGCGGGGAATGGCGCCGGGGAGGGGGGGGGGTTAATGTGAGAGGAAAGAGAGCGAGGCAGGGCGGTGAGACGGCAGCCACGACCCGGGGAGCGCAAGGAGCAGCACTGACCAAGAGCGGGAACCCTGCCCGAACTTCCTGGGGTGGCTCCAGTAGAGCTGCTGGTGGCCCATGGCTGCGCGGTGCCGAGAGAAAGATGGCGGCGGCCGCCTGCCCTTATACCCCTCACGGCGCCTCCCGGCGTGCACCGCGCGACTCCCGCTTCCCGCCCTGCCACGGCTGTGGGCGGTGCAGCTCCCCTCCGTGACGTCACGCGGCGGGGCGGTGCAGCACCGCCTGCCCCCGTGACGTCATCGCTGCTGAAGCTCGTCTTGCCGGCGGAGGGAGCGGCCGGCGCCGGGCGTAGTGGCGCGCGCCTGTAATCCTAGCCGTGGGGGAGGCTGAGCCCGACGGATCCTTGAGCTCAGAGGTTCTGGGCCGCTGTGTGCGCTGTGCGGAATGAGCGCGCAAGCGAAGGCCGGCATCTATGTGGTGATACCGGGGTGAGCTGGGGGCTGAAGTCGCCAAAGGAGAGAGGCGAGGCCCAGGTTGGAGCAGATTGGCGGTTGTCGGGGGGACCGCATCTGTGAATAGCCACCCCAGGGTAGCCTGGGCAATATAGTGACACGCGGGTTCACCTTTTTACCCCACACCCTACCCGCCAAAACCCCCAAACACCCCTTTTCGCCCCAAAACCACACACACAAACACCGCCTCCTACTGACCGAACACCGCAACAACCCAGCACCGCTCAAACTACACAATTCACTGCGCCAACCAAACCTCAAACGCCACTCCTGCCGTACAAACAACACATCTGCACAAACACTCAGCAAACGCCTCCCAGAGTTTGTTTCTTTTTTCTCCCAATGCTGCTTCATGGGCTCAAAGCCGCCTCAGGGCGCCCACAGCGACACCAAGCCTGACCTAAGCCTTCAGTCCCTTACCAAGCCTCAGCTGCTGCTGTCACACCCGCCTGCCCTCAGCTCCTGTCCCCTCAGCTTCCCTTGTCCCCTCAGCTCCTCTGTGTCCCCTCAGCTCCCATGTCCCCTCACCTCCTCTGTGTCCCCTCAGCTCCCGTGCATGCCCCTTCAGCTCCTGTGTCCCTCAGCTCCCATGTCCCCTCAGCTCCCATGTCCCCTCAGCTCCCATGTCCCCTCACCTCCTCTGTGTCCCCTCACCTCTTCTGTGTCCCCTCAGCTCCCGTGTCCCCTCCCACCCACCATCCCTTCATCTCCCCAATGTCCCCTCCTTCACACCTGCTGTCCCCTCCATGTCCTTACACAGAATTCTCTGGCCTTTCCTCCGCTCCCTCTTGCTCCTCACACCATTCTCCCCTCTAACCCCTTTTTCAATGACAACACGTCACCACGTGTCTCATGCTTTACTTGATGTTTATGGAAAACTTTATATTTTATGTCGTGCTTGGCCATGAGTGTTCATTAGGTAGGCGGGAACTGGGGATTCGATGGGCAGATTTATGTAAACCTTAGTGTATAAATCTTTTTGATGACTGATTGATTGATTAGTGGACAATTTCCACACTGCACCCTGCACAGAATAAACAATATCTCCTTTCTCAACCTGACTCATTCGTGTTTAGAGTGCCTAAGATTTGGAAACAGCCTCAGCTCCTCTCTGTCCTCCCTCAGCTTCCCATGTCCCTTCACACCCTCCATGTCCCCTCAAACCCCACTGTCCCCTCAGCTCCTCCCTGTCCGTTCTTCACACCTCCATGCCCCCTCACATCCTCAGCATCCCCTCATATCCTCGATGTCCCCTCACACTCCATGTCCTCTCATACACCTATGTCTGCTCATATCTATGTCCTCTCAGCTCCTCCGTGTCCCCTCAGACTCCATGTCCCCTCACACGACGTCCCCTCACGCTCGCTCCGTGTCCCCTCACCCCGTGTCCGCTCGTGCCCCGTGTCCCCTCACGCTCCTGTCCCCTCACACTCCGTGTCCCCTCACACCCCGTGTCCCCTCACACTCCTGTCCCCTCACGCTCCTGTCCCCTCACGCTCCTGTCCCCTCACACTCCGTGTCCCCTCACACCCCGTGTCCCCTCACGCTCCTATCCCCTCACACCCCATGTCCCCTCACGCCCCGAGCCCCCCCAATCTCCTGTCCCCTCACGCTCCTGTCCCCTCACGCTCCTGTCCCCTCACGCTCCGTGTCCCCTCACGCTCCTGTCCCCTCCCGTCCAGCCGCACCAGCCGCCTCCAGCAGGAGGTGCGCTCAACCCGCCCCGCGCGGACGGCGCTGCGCTGAGGGCCCGCGCTCGGGCTGCCCGCTGCTGCCGGTGCGGCCGCTGCCGCCGCTACCACCGGAGCCGCCGCCCTCCCTTCCCACCCCGCGATCCCGCTCTCCGGGCGGCCCCGCGCCCCTCAGCGGGCGGCGGGCGGGACCGGGCAGCGCGGCGGGCAGGCAGCGCAGCGGGCGCCTGTGCGCGCACAGCGCGGGAGGCCCCCGGCGGCGCCGCCCGCCGTGCGCGGGCCGGGGCCGGTGCCGGGATCGGGGCCGGGACCGGGATCGGAACTGGGACCGGGAACGGGATGCGGCTGCAGTGCGAGGTGGAGGTGCTCAGCCGGCTCCTGCCCACCTGCGGGCTGCGGGGCCGCGGCCGCGCCGCGCGGGCGCTGGTGTCGCTCGGGCGCCCGCCCGGCGCTGCCGGTGCCGGGATTTACCTCATGGTGTGCACGGCGCGGGACCGCGGCGGGGCTCGGTACAAGGTGGGGACGGCGGCGGGGGCCGGGCCGCGGCGGGGGTGCCCCGGGGCGGCCGCTGAGCAGCCCGCTGTGCCCGCAGGTGCAGCAGAACGTGGAGCGGCTCTTCACGCGCTTCGTGGAGGAGGGCAAGGCCACGGTGCGGCTGCGGGAGCCCGCGGTGGATCTGTGCCTCAGCAAGGTGGGACCGGCACCGGCACCGGCACCGCCAGCAGCCGCGGCTCACCGCGCTCCGACCCGCCGCGCCGAGCCGGGAACGGACATTAAAGCCCATTCAGTGCCACCCCGGCCATGGCAGGGACACTTCCACTGTCCCAGGCTGCTCCAGACCCAACCAGCCTAGCCTTGGCACTGCCCGGGATACAGGGGCGGCCACAGCTGCTCTGGCAATTCCAGCCCAGCCAGCAATTCCCAATCTCCCATCCAGCCCTGCCCTCTGGCACTGGGAGCCATTCCCTCTTTTCTAACTCTTCTGCTTCAAGTCCGTTTTCATGCTTTGTTTCACAGCTTCTTTAGAAAAAGCTTTTTTCAGCTCTCTGATGCAATGTTGGTTTTCGACCTTAAATTCCATGAAATTGTTCCTTACAATCCTTCTCATGGAAAAAAAATGGAGAATCCTCTTGTTTTCTTGGACAAAACCATCACTGTGCTCACCGTGGCTTTCAAAGCACAGAGCAGGGCACAGGCACCATCTCCCCTTATTTCAAATACCTCTGTGTTTATTCACTGTTCCCAGAGGATTTGTGAAGTCTTTTTAATAGCATTAAACTCACCAGAAAAATCGTATTATCACTAAATTCTGGTGTCCTTTTCTTCTGTGCATGTTGCAGGAATCTTTTGTAGCCCTACAGGAGAGAAAAGTAAGACAGGCTTTCTAAAACCTCTGAGTTCTTACCTGAAACTTCAGGGTCAGGCTGTGTAAATAGAAGCAAATAATGTTGGTTGGTGGTTTAGAAAATCCTTTTCCCTTTCTGTTACCTGAATCTAAAGAAAGCAGCCTTAATTTTATGAACCTGTTAAATGGTTAAATAAGAAGGGAGAACACCAAACCCAGTTTGGGGTTTTTTCCTGTTAAAAGCCAATGTGCTCTGTATTTTGCAAAAAATTAAGGCTTTTGTATTAGATTCAGAATAACTTCTGCTTCCTTTACTTAGAATTTTTCTGCTGAAGAGTGAGAAATCAAAAAGTTTATCTCAAAATATTACAGGTTCCTCTTAAGCTCTCCAACTCCAGAGCCCAAATTTAAGATGTTTCATCCCTTTTCCATAGTTTTTTTGCCATATTTTTATTAATTCATTACAGAAAAGCTTCTTAACTCTCAAAGATGAACAAAAACTTGGTGGAAAGGAGATTTCCAAAGCCTGGAACATTGCTTATGTGAAATCCCCCTGCTTGTGCTGTGCCAGGAGCTGGATTTGCTGCACTCAGCCAGCTCAGGAGTGGAGTTGGGAAACATCAGTGCAGAGCATTCACCCCTGGAGCAGAAATAACAAATCCTGGGTGTTTTCTGGGGTTTGTTTCCCTTCAGCAGGTCTGAGCCTGCTTCCCTGGATCCGCCTCAGCTCCCATTTCCTCGGAGCTCTGACTCTTGAGAGGCATCAGCACAGTTTAAACTCCTTTCCCAGCATTGTCTCTGGGGCTGAGACTTCGGGCTTGGGGCAGGAAATTGCATCCTGAGCTCTTCCAAGTAATTATTGGCTTTCTTGTATTTATTTTTTCTTTCAGGGTTTCTCAACAAGAGGTCTGGAGGTCTGGCATGGCCCTAGGGAGGTCTGGTGGAGGGAATTGTGCTTTGTGCTTGAGAGCAAAGAAATCCTGCCTGTAACTTCATTCTGGTGTGCAGCATTGATTTCACTTGGTCCTTACAGATCTGGAGGACTTTTTGGACTTAATTCCCATTTCAGTTATCTTGGAAATGCCACAAATCTGCCTGGAACGAGGAGAAATTCTGTAGCTGAATGTGTGTGTTAGACTGGCTGAGATAATGAGGGCTGCTGGTCTCAGAATCCCACGCTGGTTTGGGATAGAAGGGACCTTAAATCCCATCCCATCCACCCCTTCCACTGTCCCAGGCTGCTCCAAGCCCCATCCAGCCTGGGCTGGGACATTTCCAGGGATCCAGGGGCAGCCCCAGCTTCTCTGGATAACCTTGGATCCAAAGGTGCTTGATGTGCATCTTCCCCGGCTCTGGAAGGTGGCACAGCAGGAGTTGTGCTTGGAATGCTTCAGGAAAATGGTCATTTTTGTTTTTACAGGCAGTCAATTCAGTTTGACCTTTAATGTCTTGATTTCTCCCACATTTCCATCCAGGATTATCTCCAATATCTTTGTTTTCTCGTACTGGGTGCTTATAGCACATTGTGTGCTCTAGTTCTGAGCCCTCTCAGATTTGGTCTAAACAAACACATTTAGGAGCAAAGTTGTCTCTGAGGTGCCAAATGTGTCCCTGGGCCTGGGCAGGTGACAGCTGGGAACACAAGGACACCCTCTGGGCCCTCACAACTCCAAGGTAGTTCTTTTCTTTTCCTTCTATGCTTGCAGTGTGCTTTTTATTTTAGAGTTCACTTTTCAGCTCGGTGCCTGTCAGCTGCACATCAGCTCGAGCAGAGACTTGATGGAAAATGTAGAAGAGAAATGTTTGGTCACAAATGTTCCTAGAAGTGAATCAAGTCAGTGCAACAGATGCATTTTTTTGTTTTCTGGAGTTTTCTGGATCTTTATTTAAAATACAGATCTCTTGATACTCTGATACTGAGAGTTGGTGGGAGCCTTTATTGGCTTCCCACTGCCAGAGGGCAGGGCTGGATGGGACATTGGGAGGAATTCTCCCTAAGAATTCCTCCCTGGCTCTTGTACACCTCTGGAGAGGGGCTGGGCTGGAATTGCCAGAGCAGCTGTGGCTGCCCCTGGATCCCTGGAATGTCCAAGGCCAGGTTGGACACGGGCTGGAGCAACCTGGGACAGTGGGAGGTGTCCCTGCCATGGCAGGGGTGGGATGGGATGGGATGGGATTTAGGATCCCTTCCAACCCAACATGTCCTGGGATTCTACTGCCAAAATACTGTATCCCAACTCAAGCATTATTTTGTCTTTGCAAAGAATTTGCCTCTTTGCTGCTGGCACAGCCAGAGCTGTGTGTGGCCACGAGCACTGACTTCACCTTCCTTTTGCTGAATTCAACCCCAGCTTCCATCCTTTTCTTTCCCAGAAACTTCCAGGAACTATTGCCTCAGGTTTTAAAGCTCTGCTTTCCCCGTGTGTGTTTGTAACAGTCCTTTATCCTGGTGGATTTTAGGGAGCTCCCAGTGCATCAGGGTTTTTTCCTGTACTTCATTTCCAGCTGTGGGTTCGGTGCTTTGTTCCTTCCCTGGGTGCTGCAGCACAGTTTGACCAGGATTATTCATAACAGAGCTCTTCCCCCTCCCATCCCACTGCCCTGCTGAGTGACAGCTCAGAGAGTGTTAATAACCAGGATAATGAACTTTTAACTCCAGCCTTGTGTTCCCCTGCAGGCAAATGTGATCAATTTAAAGACTTTCCTTTCAGCCGTGAGACTGGCTCACCAAGGCAACGACACCGGCGTCCTCCCTCTCTCACCTCTGGTCCCAGCAAAGAACTCCGACGTGGAGAAACCCAAAACCAAAATGATCATCACTTCCAGGAGGGATTATCCCCTCACCAAGAGCTTCCCTTTCTCCCTGGAGCACCTGCAGACCTCGTACTGCAAGCTGGCCAGGATCGACAGCAGGGTGCTGTGCCTGAAGAAGCTGCGCAAGCTGGACCTGAGCCACAACCACATCAAGCAGCTGCCGGCCACGCTGGGGGACCTGGTGTGCCTGCAGGAGCTCGACCTGCACGACAACCACCTGGAGGCCTTCAGCGGGGCCCTGTGCAGCTCCGGCCTGCAGAAATCCCTGCAGCTGCTGGACCTGAGCCAGAACCAGATCCAGGCGCTGCCCCTGGAGTTCTGCCAGCTGCGGGGCCTGGTGCAGCTGCGGCTGGACGACAACGCCCTGCTGCGCCTGCCCTGCCGCATCGGGCAGCTGAGCCGCCTGCGCTTCCTGTCGGCCGCGCGCAACAAGCTGCCCTTCCTGCCCTCTGACTTCAGGAAGCTCTCCCTGGAGAACCTGGATCTCTTTGGGAATCCTTTCGAGCAGCCCAACCCGCTGGTTCCCAACATCCAGCTGAAGATCCCGCTGACTCTGTTGGAGTGTGCTGCCAGGGCCACCGTCAATCACAGGTAAGGGCAGGGAGGGCACGCCTGGCACCGCTCCTGCAAGGTTCCCTCCTTTCCCCTCAGTGCCTCTTCTCTCACTATTGACTTCATAAAGTGAAAATTCCTTTGAATTCCCCTTGTCAAGTCATCAGGATAATTGGTGCCTTGGAAGCATTTAAGGACAGGCGGAGATTGAAGTGTTTTCATCCACCAAAGAGAGATGAACAGAATATTTTTGGCCAACTGTGGGAAAAGAGAATCAGTTGTACAACACTGAGGCACTTCTTCTGCAGGCTTTCCCTTGCCATAGGTTTTTCTTAAGCTCCTCATTTCCCTTGGTGTTGGAGTGAGGGTGTTCTGACTTATTCAGAGAGCCCAGCTCTGAGGTAATTTAAAAAAATACTATTTCATCAAGTAAATCCCACCCTCCCAGGCTGCTGTTTGTTACCAGCTCTCTCTTCCCCCACACCACTTCCACCCCTGATCCTTCGTGTACCAGGAGCCTCCAGATAGCAGCAGCTGCTGCTGCCACCCTGCTCTGGGTGGGAAGGGAGCACAAAGACAGAAATTTGGCACAGAAAAGGGGTGAGAGAAGCTGGAAGTGTCTCTAATCTGCATCCTGTGCCCATTCCTGCCTTGAGGGTGGGCAGTGCCCCATAAACCCGGGGTAGTTGTGCAGAAATTTGCACCAAAGGCATCCAGGGGCACACCCTGATGGGAGCTGAGCCACCACATGTTCTGGGCCAAATCACCCACTGCTGACCGTGCTGATTTTATAATTAAACCCCACATGTCTCCTTTCCCAGCTTTATATAAACTGCAGTGGGTTTGATGTAAATATTAAGGCTTTTTTCTACCTCTAGAAATCCCTCAGCGCTGGTCAGATTCCAGTTTCTGTAAAAACCTTGAGAAAGGGACAAAACAGAAGGAGAAGGTGCAAAAATAATGTTTGGAAATCAGTCTTCACTATGGGAAAGTACCAGAGTTCTTGATTATGCTTTTCCCAGAAAAAAAGGGTGTTCTGAAATTAAGGTGGGAAAAAAAACCCAGAGGAGTCTTAGCTGTGTGAGTGATGGTTTGTGGAAAGTTTGGGAATGTGTAGGTGGAGGCAGGATGTGAGTCAGTGGGATCTGTGCTGAGTTTGGAGTGCCAGCTGGGCCCTGCTGAGACCCACACTTCAGCCACCCGACAGAATTCCTCAGGGGAATCACTTACTTTGTACCCCAAACTCAACACTGCTCCTCTGTAAATTCCAAAAGGAGCAATTCCCATTCCCAACTCTGGATGTCATTGCTGACACGGTGGATGGAGAGAGCTGTGGAGCAGGAGAACTTTTAATGTCGTGCCTGCAGGGCTCCAGTTTATCTCCTGCTTTCTCTGAGTTGATTTTTAACACTGCTGCTCCTCGGTGCAGGAGGGAGGAGTAAATGGTGGGTGCTGTGTCCGGCCAGGGTGAGACACAGAGAATGTGAGGGAAGAACAGAACGTGCCCAGCTGTCTCATTATTCTTAATCTTCCTTTAATTCTCTAACTCTCATTACTCTCAATCTTCCTAATTCCCCAGCTGGCTGTGGCCCAGGCTGCCAGGATTGCTGGGAGCTCCCTGTTGGGGTGTCTCCTGGAGTTCATGTCCTTAGGAAGTGCCTTGGGAAGTGGCATTTGCTTCCTGAAATCTCAGGAATTGGCATTTCGGTCCTAAAATTGGAAATTTCATTCCTGAAATCTCAGGAAGTGGCATTTCAGCCCCAAATCTCTGGTTTTCCGTGTCTGTGTGATGCCTGGAGAGGCTCCCTGGAACAGAGGCTGGGCAGAGTTATAATAAGAATAAAGTTATAATAAGAATAAAGTTATAATAAGAATAAAGCAGGGATTTATTAAACAGCCTCAGAGGACACACCTTGGGCACCACAAGAGCCTGGCCAGGGCTGCACCCCAGATGGACCCTGAGTCACAAGTTTTCACACTTTTAATTAGTTTTGGTCCATTTCCATGTGGGGTTCATTGTCCAATTCCAGCTCCAGGAGATGCAGTCCCACCCTCCCAGATTGCTCTCCTCAATTTGCTGTTTTTACACTTTTGGGGCTGAAGCTGCAGCGGTGTCCTTGGTTCTGGGGCTGGAAAAGGATTGTTGTGTGTGCCTGAGCTGTGAGGAAAACCTGCTGAAACTTTATGTGGAGTTCAGAGTTATACCCCAGTGCAGTGCAGAGTCTGGAAAACATGACAGCTAAAACTGAAGGCATCATGTGCCCTGGGAATGGCTGGTGCCTGTGTCCTGTCCTGATTTTTTAAGATTTTCTAAGCCTTTTGATGTTTACATTCTTGTAACGAACTTTCTCACACACTTTATGTAAATAACTTATTGTTTTACATTCTTTTGTGGAGGAGGGTTGAAATCTCAATTCCTGAGATTTCAGGAAGGAAATGCCACTTCCCAAGGCAGTTCCTAAGGACATGAACATTCGATGGACTGTTGGTTTGTCCAGTGTCATGGAGAGGTGGCTCTGTCACCCTCCAATCCACTGTCACCTTTGGAAATCTATAAATGCTGGAGACAGAAATTAAAAAGTCCCTTTTACCTTGAAAAGAGCAGAGTGTTCTTTCGTGCCCTGCAGTGACGCAGATCACCGTGCCGAGCTCACCCTCTCTGCTCTCACCCCACAGAATCCCTTATGGCTGCCAGCTCCTCCCTTCCCACCTGTGCAAGGATCTGGAAGTGGCCAAGACGTGTCGCTGCGGGAGCGCCTGCCTGAGCAGCTTCATCCAGATCACGGTGACCATGAACCTGCACCACGTGGCGCACACCGTGGTGCTGGTGGACAACATGGGCGGCACGGACGCGCCCGTGCTCTGCTACTTCTGCTCCCTGCACTGCTATTCCCAGTTCCTGGACAGGCACCTGCAGAGCCACGGCTGACGGCGGCCACGCCGGGCGGCGGGGCACGGAGCAGCCCGCGGGCACGCGCTGCCGGCACCCGCCGTGGCACCGGAGACATCCTGGCACGGAGGGGACGCGGCCGGGCCTGGCCTGGCCTGGCTCTTCTCCCATTCCAGGAGGGAGGGGACACGGCCTGGCCTGGCCTGGCCTGGCTCTTGTACACCTCTGAGAGGGAGGGGACATGGCCGGGCCTGGCCTGGCCTGGTTCTTGTCCCATTCCAGGAAGGAGGGGACACGGCCTGGCCTGGCCTGGCTCTTGTACCCCTTTGGGAGGGAGGAAACATGGCCTGGCCTGGCCTTGCTCTTGTACCTCTCTGAGAGGGAGGAAACATGGCCTGGCCTGGCCCTTGTCCCATTCCAGGAGGGAGGGGACACAGTCTGGCCTGGCCTGGCCTGGCTCTTGTACCCCTTGGGAGGGAGGAAACATGGCCTGGCCTGGCCTGTCTCGTCTCTTCTCCCATTCCAGGAGGGAGGGGACACAGCCTGGCCTGGCCTGGTTCTTGTCCCCCTTTGGGAGGGAGGGGCCACAGCCTGGCCTGGCCTGGTTCTTGTCCCCCTTTGGGAGGGAGGGGACACAGCCTGGCCTGGCCTTCCCTGGCTCTTCTGCCCCTCTGGCACAGAGGGGACATGGCTTGGCCTGGCTCTTCTCCCATTCCAGGAGGGAGAGGACACGGCCTGGCCTGGCCTGGCTCTTGTACCCCTGTGGGAGGGAGGAAACATGGCCTGGCCTGGCCTTGCTCTTGTACCTCTCTGAGAGGGAGGAAACATGGCCTGGCCTGGCCCTTGTCCCATTCCAGGAGGGAGGGGACACAGTCTGGCCTGGCCTGGCCTGGTTCTTGTCCCCCATCCTGGCAGGGAGGGGACACGGCCTTGCCCTCTCCCCCTCTGGAATCTCCTCTCTCTGCTTGCAGCAGGAAGCCGTGTTGATGGGGAGGGGACACAGCCTGGCCTGGCTCTTGTCCCCCTCTGGGAGGGAGGGGACACGGCCTTGCCCTCTCCCCCTCTGGAATCTCCTCTCTCTGCTTGCAGCAGGAAGCCGTGTTGATGTGGAAGAGCCTTCCTGTGAATGTATTTCCCTTTTCCTGCTGCCGGCGCTGTGCTCGGGGCTTTCTGGCTTTGTGGGTGAGCTGTTCCTTCTTGGAAGGACAAAGGGAATTTAAATTTATCCCAGAGCTCCCCACGGGAGCTCTGCCAGGGCCAGGACTGCACTCCACTCTTGCCAGTGGAGGAGAAATCACATCCAGAGGGGTTATGGAATCCCAGGTGCTTCTTTTTCCCAAGGTTCTGTTACAACATTCCCCCTCGGAGCAGGGACCAGCATTGCTGGCTTTTTACCAGAGCAGTTTGGGTTTGGGGTTTCTCTCTTTGTGATACCAGAAATGTCTTTTTTTTCTAAATATGTGCCTGAAACTGTTTCTTAATCCTCCTGTTTTAACGATTCTGGAATTTGTTTCACTGTGTTTACTGATTAAATTTTGAGCCCCTTCGGTGCCCGTGTGGATTGTGTTTTGTCTGAGGGGTTTTCCAGCCAGTGCATCCCAGGAATTAACTGCTGGTATTTTTTGGGGATGACACCAAAATATTGAGCATACCCACAGATTCTTTTATTTCCTGTCCTGTCAGCTGCTCCAGGACTGGGAGATGGGAACAGCAGAGAACAAATACTTGCGATTCTAGAATTAATTAATCTGAATTTTTTTAATTCTTACCATTCAAGAATGGGTTCATAATCCTAATCTTTCAATTCTAGAATTATTTCATTTTGAGAAGTTTTTAGGAATCCCATTCCCTGGAGGCAGCACACTGATAATTTGGATATTGGGAACATTTCTTTGTGGAAAGGGGGTTTGATAGAGTCCCCATCCCTGCAGGGATCTAGGAATGTTTTCTTATCTTGTTCTTGCAATTCTGGAATTATTTTCCTCTTATATTAATGTTGAAAACTTTGCAGTCATTTTATACTTGCGATTCTAGAATTAATTAATCTGAATTTTTAATTCTTACCATTCAAGAATGGGTTCGCAGTACTAATCTTTCAAATCTAGAATTATTTTATTTTAATCTGTAAATCTTAGATTTTTTTTTCTCTTTCCATCTTAGAATTATTTTATTTTATTCTTCCAATCCTACAATAATTTTACCTTATTCCCGCATTTCTAGAATGATTTCTCACCATTTTCTCGTCATTGCAGAATGCTTTTAACGTGCTGTTTTTCAAACCTAGTACTCACTGATCCTTCACGTTACTCCCGCGGATCCCGCCTGGTTTCCGTGTGTTTTCCCTGCATTTCCAGAGTTTTTTTCCCTTTTTTCCCAAAATCCCGAAGGATTCCGCCGCCCCTTCCCGCCCTCCCCTTCACGCCTTGGCCCCGCCCCCTCCCAGCGCCGCCCAATCAGAGCGCGGTGCGGCGCCGGCGGCTGCGCGGCCCCCCCTGCGCGGCGGAAGCGCCGAAGAGTTGATTGACGGTTCCCCCGACCAATAGCGAGGCCGGGGTCGCCGCAGCGGCGGCCAATGGCGAGCGGCGACGTGTGCGCGCGGGGCGGCGGCGGCGCGCGCGCGCTGGGAGCGGGAGCGGCGGC